ATAGAATTGGTTGGGGAATAAAATTACTGGTCATCATATCAATTATGTCATTTTTATGCCTCCAGCCTATTTAATTAATTTTGTTTCACCGAAGTGATCGCATTAGCTCCTTGTTTTAATAAAAGCCATGGAAGTGCCTCCGGTTTTCCTTCCTCTCGTCCTCCTCTCCTGTCTTCTCCTCTTCTCCCATCTGTAAGGCGGCAGGACATAGCAGGCACTGAGCTGTAACAGCACAGAAACTCCCTCTCAAGGCTTGCTTGCCTGGGAAGAGGTACATAAGCACCCCATGTTTTGACAGACTTCACCGTGACGAAGCCCTCTGTTGGCTTTTTAGAGTTTAGTTCATAGGATAAGATGGATGGCTACCCTCTTATAAAATAATTTTTTCTTTCCTTTTTCACACGAGTAGCATATCACCATTATAGAAAGAACGAAAATAGGAAGCAGAAAGAATAATATATTGTTCCTCTGCCAGCTAACATTTTTTTTTTTTGGTACCGGGGATTGAACTTGGGTCCTTGCGCTTGCAAGGGAGGCCACCGAACCGCTGAGCTAAATCCCCAGCCCCGGCTTGTTTCTGCTTTTGCACCTGCCTTTAAAAAGCTTATCATCAGAGGGGTCAAATCTGCCACTACTTTTGTATTTTCCTTTTCATGGTTTGAGTATATACAATATACTGATGGTTTCATTAAAATTGAGTATACAGGGCTAGGGATTTAGCTCAGCTGTTTGGTGGCCAGCCTTGCAAGCGCAAGGACCCGAGTTCAATCCCTGGTACAAAAAAAAAAAAAAAAAAAGCAGAAACAGGAAGAATGGTGTTAGGAAATGCAGAATACAGTTGTGATTAAATGGCTTTTTTTTCTCACTTAAATTTTGAAGGTTAAAAAATTGTACCCCCTAGCAAGTGACACATTTGCTAGACTTCTCTCGATAAGGGAAAGAGTAATTTGGCAAGTTCTTGAAGGGTGCTTTCTCACCCGTGTTTTGAATCCTTCAAAGACTGGAGTGTTAAAGAAGCAAATAGAAATCAAAGATCCTACCTCAAACAAAACACAATGACTAAAATCCTCGGTCCTTCCAAAAGACGTAGCATCTCTCGTGTGTGGCTGTGCTAATTCATTTATTCTTGCCACATATAACTCGTTAAAGGAAAGGGAAGAAAGTTTCCATCACCAGTTTTTATGTAGTGACTGTTCAGCCTGAGGTACTGCCTGAGTAATCGGCTTCTTCAGGTTGATTTAAAATAAGCATTAACTAGTGTTGTTTCCATGAGGCTTTTGATGTTGGAAGGGTTAACAGGATAATGATGGCAGCAGTAATGGAGAGATTTCCAGTCTCATTTGACGTTTTGGATAATGAGAATCAATATGACACCTCGTCTTGAATTTCCATGGACACTGCCCTGTCTGAGATCTCTTTCCATCATCCCTTTAGTTACAGGAGGGACTCATTATACTGTAGGTCAGCTGCAGTCCATTGTGCTCATAGGTACCTATCACTTAACTACGGAATGTTTTCATGAGTCACTCGGATCCAAACTGGCCCCCTTAGATTGGCTGTGTTGCCATTCTGTTTAATTACATCTCATCTAATTGCATAATGTAGCTATATATGCATAGTGACCCAAAGCCAATTGCTTTTCTTTATTGTACAATTACTCTGAATAAACTCACAGTGAAAATAGAATTTAAATACCTGGTATGAAATGCCACTTTGAAAAGGTTGTTTTGGGCTTTTCACAGTGCTCTGATGTGATTTTTAAAGAAGGCAGTCTAAAAATACCGTGTGACTCCTACCTGTACCCTAAGACTATTAAGTATTTTCTGTAATTGCGCCTGTCTTCAATTTATTTAACTAAAAAGTTTGATGTCCCCATAGTTACCAGTTCTGATGGTATTTCTGCATATTCATGGCCATTTTAGTTCATTCCAGTGGTTCTCCCTATTATCAAACAAGATGACTGTGTTAGCTCTTCAGCCTTGTATCTCTTTTCTGTGAATTCAGCAAATTCATTTCAACTCATAATTTGAATTCTTAATCTAGGCTGGGAATGTTAGATGTTAGATGTCAGGATCCCAGGACACAGAGATGGGTGAAGCTGTTCTATGGGAGGGGAACACGGGTGTGTTAGGCACCAGTGCACCTTGGGGTCCACCCTGTAACCAAACACAGCACAAGGGCATTGGTGGCACCCAGTGTATTAGCTCTACAGAGAGCTCTTGGGAAACTTCTCCAAGAAACTGACAGCAGGGACAAGTGTTCAAGGATGATCAAGGGGTTCACCAGCAGAATCTGAGAAGAGGATGAAGGAAGAGGTACAGTAGGTAGAGACAGCAGCACACGTGGAGACAGGAGGCCTGTCCTGTGTGGTGTCCATGGGAATCACTGGGGATGTAGTACGGGAGAGTGTGAAGAAGGGGAGGAGAGATGAGGCTGTCAGACGCTGTCCTTCTGGCCAAGGGAAGCCATTTAAGGAACTTGAGGCGGAAGTGAGACGTGATTATATTTATAGTCAGGTGGGGTCACTTTGGTTCAATCTGTGTTTCTCATCATCTGGTAATTTGCAATTAAATATCAGCCCCTTTTTTCATAGTTTCTTCGGGGCTTAACCTAAACTTAGCATTTTCTAGGCCGGATAAACTGAGGAATTCTGAATTTAAGAACTATAGATCAGCAGGTTGTCTCCTAGCTTATTGGAGCAATATTATTTTGCGTCCCTTGTTCTGGCCATTTCTACCTCCTGTATGCTGTTCTAAAACCAGTGCACCTTTGATGATTAGCACCTGTTTGCCTTGACAGCAGCAAGTGTGATAGTGGTCTGGGTCCATTTAGCAGACAGCTGAGGGTCTTTTGCGCACCAGGTTGGCAACACAGAGGTGTAAAACAGCCCCTGCCTTCCACTGTTTGCAGGCACGTGATTGGTTTCCCAGGGAGCACAATAAAGACCATGATAGAGAAACTAATGAAGCAGGAAGGCTTCTGTCAAGATATGGCCCCTCCATCAGGAGGAAGCCAGGGAGAGTGCTGGGGTGTTCAAGGGCATGGCAGGAAGTACGTCAGGCCACAGTGTGGAGAAGACAAAGGAGCCAGTAAGAAAAGGAACCAAAGACATCCAAAGGCACCGGATCCACAAGGGCCTGTACCCCAAACCGACGCCTGTCTTGAGGGGCATGGGAGACGCTGGAGGGAGAATATATGTGATCAGCTTTGCAGAAAGATTACTCTGATGGCAAAGAAAGCGGACTGAAAAGGGACAAGCTGGAAACAGGGAAACTTCTTCTGTTTCCCTCTGATACTGGGATTGGGCAGAATGGCAGTAAGTAACGAGGGCTGTGCCCAAGTTAGCATCTGTGGAACAGAGAGGTAAACATGGATCTAAAAAGAAGCAAGGATGTTACAGGGACCCCAGCCAGAGGCTTGGCTCTGTGAGTCCCAACAGAACAGATTTGGTCACTTGCCACGTCTGGAGTGTAATTAACAGAGAAAAATGGCGGCAAAGCAAGAGGGGAATTAATTTTTAGTTTGGCTAAACCAGGAAGACCATCAGTCTACAAAACCGTCTTTCCTGTCCTGATAGCAGCTTCAGGAATATATAAGGGAAGAATAAAAGTGAGGAACCAAGAGGTAAGCATGTGAACAGGAAGTGTGATTCTAGGTTTCATTGGCACTGGGACCAGGAGGAAAAGGCACTGTCTGCTCCCAGCATAAGAAAAAGCTAAGAATCCACTTAAAGCAGGTTAGATGGACTGGGTGCACCTTCAGATCTTTCAGGGTTTTTTTTCCTTTTTTTTGAGTTTATTGGCACATTCTAGGTATACAGTACAGTTACATTCGTTACTGGGATCTTGTACCTTTACATGACAGGTCTTGGTTATCATTTTTTCCCCTTGGCCCTGCCCTCCCTTCACCCCCTCCTCCCCTCCCTATTTACAAACACTTTATTTACATTTTTTTCAATTTCTCATATATTTTTTTCTTTTCCCTTATTCCCTTTCCCCTACCCTTCCCACTTTCCCTACACCTTTAGCCCTTTTCCTATTTCACATTTTTAATGATCTCATTAGGATCTTGTATACTATTATAGTTTGTTCACACCAGAGGAACTATTCGGTATTTACACATGTGTGACTTACTTATTTCACTTAGGAGTATATCCTCAAAATGTATCCATTTTCCTATGAATGACTGTAATTTCTCATTTTTTATGGCTGAGTAGTATTCCATTTTATAGAAAAACCACATCTTTATCCAGTCTCTAACTGATGGGCAAATGGGCTGTTTCCATGTTTTAGCTATTATAAACTGTGCTGCTATAAACATAGGTGTGCATATGTCACTGTGATATGATTCTTTTAATTCTTTTGGAAAGATACCCAGCAGAGGGATGGCTGGTCAAATGGAACCTCTAGTCCCAGCTCTTTGAGGTATCTCCATAGTGGTTTCCATAGTGGTTGCACCAGTCTGCACTCCCATCAACAGTGGAGAAGGGTTCGTTTCTCCCCACAGCCCCGCCAACATCTGTTATTGTATGATTTCTTGATAGCAGCCATTCCAGATCTTTCAGTTTTAAGGGAGTCTCTGTTCCAAGGAGGCAAAACCACCAGATATCATTGATTCTGTGCCTGGGGAGATGACAAAAAGGTGAAGTCTAGGAGGAAGAAAGTTTATAGTCCACAGACGGTAGTTTTTTCCCTGGTACCGGTGGAGTTACCCTCTGACGGATTTGAGTGCCACGCTGCAGCCATGGTGAGCAGTGGTTCCTCTTCCTTCGTAAATCATTTTTATGTTCTCCACAAGTCAGACTTCCTTTTAAGCCCTTTGTAGCCTTGTAAATTGTTGCCATCTCTTTTTTTACAGCAATTTTCCTTCAAGTGCTTTAAAGAAGGCCACATAAATTATGACACCCTTACTTCATAGCTACAGAGCAGTTGTGCACAGAAACACTTACTCTAACATGGTTGGATAAGATTAGAATCTTCTCCCTATCTCTCTACCTCTAGACTACACAGTCTGCTTTGAAGACACACCTTAGATTATGTAATCCTGCTGAAGCGGAATTCATGTTTTGGTTTTCGGCAAAGTCCTCAATGAGTAAGTCATTACAGCTATGGGTACAGTTTTCCTCCGAAATTGATCTCTTAAATTTGTTGACTGCTCACCATGGGTCTATTTTAAATGGCTAGACTTTCTAGAAGGCTTGTTGTGTGCCTCATAATATTAATTCACTGAATCACTTAATCCTACAAGGTGGACCCTAATGTCACCCTCTTTTTTTAGATGAGGAAACTAAGGCACTGAATTGTTAAGTAACTGGCCCGGGCTCCCCCAGCTAACAGTCAGTTGAGCTAGAGTTTGAAGCCAGGCGTCATGGCTCCAAGCTTCTTCCTGTGTCACTTTGCTGAGAGTGATTACGACTTTATTCCAAATTCATGAACTTAAGGGCCAGGGATTAAGCTTAGTGGTTCCACCACCTGCCTCACAAGGGCAAGATCCCAAGTTCAATCCCGGTACCAGAACAAACAAATTCATGAACTTAAGAGTAGACAAGTCTGGGCCATACCTGTGACTTTTCAGAACCTGCTCCAAAGCATTCCCTCAAGGGCCTTTTTAACTTCGCAATGATTTCCAAAGGCAGCGACGTCACAGACCTCCACAGCCGTGCTGATTCCTCCCAGAACTGGTTGTGACTGTATCAAAGAAAGCTCCTTTACACGGAAACAGATGGGGCACAGCTGAGCCTCACTGAGAGCCGTACAGGAAGCAAGACAGCACCGCAGAGGGACTGTGGCTGACCTTCCTTGCACCCGAAATGTTAATTTCAACTGTTTGAATCATTTTATTGCTAAAGTTAAAGAATAAACTTAGCAATGATACAATCCAGAGAGGAGTATAACTCAGCCCTTTTTTGAACCTAAAGAAATTACTTTGGGGCAAGTTATATAATGTGTTCATTGGGATATGGTGTAAATTATCAAAGCCTCTATTTTATATGTGTACTATAGTTCAAGTTTATAGCAAACGGCTTCTCCCGAGGGCTTCTCAGTATTATTGTCTAGTTTCTTTTCTCTGTGCACTTTTGCATATATTTCCCAAATATATTTACTTTCCTAAGTGTCCATGTCTCAGCTTTCATTTTGTCCAAATTCACATTTTTTAACCAAGTGTGTAATCCCTCTGCCCAGTAAATCTTCACATTTCCTGTCTGCCACTCTTGCCCTTTTTTACAGAGCAAACAGCAGACGCTTTAGTGTCACCTCTTAAACACCTTCCCCCCAGCAAGACTGAGCGTAAGGTATTGCTTCCCGTCATTTATTGTCACCCCAGTCCATGTTCAAGCCAAAGTCACTTAGTTTTGTGAAGGAAATTGTGTGAGACATTCCTTCAAGTGCCCTAATAAAATTCAAATATATCACATCTGCTCCCCTCCCTTAAACTAGTAATCTTGTAATTCCATCAGAAAAGCAATCAAATTTGGTGAGCCTTTTTTTTTTTTCCTTCATAAAGCTCGGCTTCTTATTACTTTTGGGTTTATTCCCTCTAGATGTTAACAGATTTTTATTGCACACAATATTGCAAGCTTGCCAAATTAATTTCCACGGTCACTTTCATTGTTTGAACGTTGAGGCCGTCTTTTCCTTTTGCCTAATTTGTGATGCCTGCACTGTCCTTTCTGTGTCTTACACTAGCCAGATTTGTTATGTAGTGGGGACAGTAACGTAAGTGAGGAAAGACGGACAAGGGTGGTCTCACTGCTGCCCCGTGTCTGAAGCTGTCTCCTCACACCGTTCCCAGGGCAGCCTGGCTTCATCTTCAGCTCTGCAGTAACCAGCAAGCTGCTGCTGCTTTCTGGGCTTAGTGAGGTGCATTGTCCTCCACACCTCACACGTGAACCATCAACCTTAGCTCGCCTGTTTGGGGCCCTCTCGAAGAGTGCATGCACATCGTTCGTTTCTATTATTTGCTTGTTTTCCAGCCTCTCATGTTTCTGTTTATTGGTGAGTGGTTATTTTTACCTCCAAGACTCTGCCTGTATTTTTTCAAATGCACACGAAGTATTCTTTGAGTATTCGGTTGTTAAACTTTATGTGAGGGCATTGCTTTTAAGTTGGACGCTCTAAGGCCTGAGTCATAGCGATTGCTCTGTGATTCCTTCCCTCGGGTGACCATTCTAGCCAAGTCTGCACCAAAATACAGCACTTTCAGATTGTAAAGGTCTCTGCTCTTACTTTTCCTATTTTCTCATACTCAGTTTACTTTCTTCCCTGCTTTAAAAAAGAAAACACTCAGCAATAAGCACTTTCTTTCACAGATTTTACTGCCTTGTAGCTTTGTATCACTTAATACCTTTCTTCCTCAGCCAGTAAGTATAACTGTACTTAGAACAGTGCTAGGCACTTAATATCTACAGTCTTATTTCGGAGGAAGTGGAGATATTTTTATTTCATTTATTCACTCATTCACTCAACAAACATTTAATGGGTAGCTCCTGGACATCAAGTCCTGGGCCATAAAGATGAGTCTTTCCTTTGAATGCCTGCACAACAGTGCAAAGAAGGGGCCAGTGGAAATAAGTCCAACATGGTGTGGTGTGTCCTGAGGCAGAAGTGATTTATAAGGTCTAGCACAGCTCCCACCCCAAGGAGCTGAAGAAGGCTGTGACGAAGGAAAATCCAGCCTTCAGTCTAGAGGAAATCAGGATGAGTTTTCCAAGCAAGGGGGAAGCAGCATCGCATGAGAAGATGTAGTCTTACAAAACGACATTATCCTGAGTCTGACTTCTCCTGAGTCCTCCCTCCAGATCTGCCCATCTTTGTATTTTATGGGTATATCAAGGAGTAACTAAGTCTGTGGGAAATGGGCAAAAAGCTGGAGGAGACAACCAATGTTAGATTTCTTAAGTGTGTTCGTTTGCTAGAACCACTGTAAAAAAGTTCCACACACAGAGTAGGTGGCTTTAAACTCAAAGTTCTGAAAGCTGGGTTTCAGCTTTCAGCTTTAAACTCGCGGTTGAGGTGTTGGCAGGGCTTCCTGTTCTGAGGCCTCTGCCCTTGGCTTGCAGATGGCCATCTTCTTGCTGAGTCCTCACGAGGGCCAGCCCTCCCTCTGCAATGTTTGTGTCCTAATCTCCTCTTACGAGGACTACGAGGACCAAGTCGTGTTGTACCAGGGCCCACCCCTAAAATAATGACCTTATTTTAATTTAATTACCTCTTTTAAGGTGCTCTTTCCAAATACAGTCTCCTTCAGAGGCACTGATGTTTGGGCTTCAGCATATACACGTGGAAAAGACAGAGGCCCTTCCATAGTAGCTCGTATCCTGTCTTTAGTTGTGTCCAAACCAGTGGCGTAACTGGACTGTAATGTCCCTGGGTTTAACTAGAAGGATACAGATTAGCTTTCAGGTGCTCAGCAAAGCCATTTCATCACTTTGCGTTTATATTTATTGTGAACATCCTAGATTTCCTAGCTCTAGTTAGAACTGAATTATTACAGAACTCATTACTCATTAAACGCTGAATTCATTACTAAAGACCCAAGCCAGTGGCAGTACATGAACTTTTCTGGGACTGCAGCGAGAGCCGTACCTCATTCATTGTCATTGGTAAAATGATGAGGCTTTAAATTGTTTACATTCCAGTGACTTGTTCCCACTATAGAGATAAATTCATTTTTCTTAATTTAGATGGAACATTGTGCAGAATTTAAATGTAGGTAAAGAATGTATTTTTTCAGATAGCTCCCTAAAATGTGCATCTTGGATGTCCTTCAGGGAAAAAATTTACTTGTCAAATACGAGCATTGCAAATGCCTTTACACCCTCAGATACTCATGATTTTTCTAGTGTGGCCTTTGGTGGTTCTGACTGCAAAACTTGTGTAATGATCAGAAGATGTCAATTCTAATTTCCCCTGGGCCACTCATTTCTTTGACATCTGTGCATGGCTTCTAATCTTCCTGAGTATTTATTTCCTCTATTGGTTAAATGTAGAAGATTATATCTATCAGGTTTATTTCACGGCTTATACCCCTATGTTTTTTCTAGTGTAGGAATTATGGTTTTTAATTAATATGCAACACGGTGCTTAGATTTTTAAGTATCAGAATTATTTTTAAATAAATGCTTTATGGTGGATGAGAGAAAATTGTGGATGATAATATTTGTGTGGGCAGGAAGTAATAATGTCTTGCCGAGATGGAACTGATATATTTTTCTAAAAGCAATTTGAAATTCAAAAGGTATGAGAGAGAAGAAGCCTTGCAGACCACTCGCATTGCATGAGGAGGAGGTTAAATTATAGACCATTAAAGTCCTTCTTAAGGTAAAATGAAGAAAAGGTATCTCGGAGGGGAATTTTGAAAAGGGGAAAGACATAGACTCAGTTCAAAGAAGTGGGAGGAAATCCTGATTAGATGAAACAGGCGGAAATGAAGTGGCAACACCTTCCCTGCCTCTCCCTCAAGTCTGAACAATCAGGAATGGCACAGGCCGGCACGGATGTCTCCTCTTGCAGAATCACCCATAAGAGACTTCCCTTGTTATCGTCGTGCAAGAGCATTTTGTAGGCATCATGGGAGCCTGGTACAGCATCCAGTGCAACACAAAGGAGGCTCGTTGCTGTGGCCCCGCCTCTTGGGTGGGGGGGCGATGGGGTAGGTGAGACCAGCTCTCCCGGCTCAGTGCCTTGTTGGCGTTGCTTGAACACCTTCGAGTGGCAGAAAGTACAATGTGGTGCAGGGGCTGCCACCTCACTTTGCAGTTAATTGGGAAGATTGAGAGGGTGGGCTGGGGCAGCAGGGGCTTAGCCTGCTTGCTCATCAGCTCCCAGCTGGACTCCCATCTTCTCCCAGGCAGTCCTGAATTTGGTGGCTTGTTTTACTAGGAAAGGAAATAAGGAGGGAGAGCAAGAGGAACGGAGGAGATGGGGGTAAACAACATAGACTCCGCAGAGCTCTTCTCTTCCACTTGGTCCCTCTCCGGCTGGGACCGCCACCTTCATTGGCCCAGATCTGCTGCCCTCGCACCTCAGGCCCATTCCTGAGGACAGATGCTGACCAACTCTTCCCCTACATGGAAACGTGCAGCTCAGAAGCAACCTTATTGGCTGACCTAAAGCCACGATCCTAGCAAGCATTCATATTTAGCCTCATCCTTGTGCTGGGCCTCTTCTAAGTGCTTTGGATGAGTTAAGTTACTGAATCTTCCTATGAATTATACACTCTGGGTATATTACTGTCCTCCTGTTACAGATAAAGAACCAAGGCAGAGATCTCTTACAGTCCCTGGGGACCAAGTGAGGGATGAGGTGTAGAGCATCCTTCCCAGTCACTGTGCCCACGATGAGAAGGGCAGACAAGGCCCTGCCATGGACAGGACAGGGTGACACTGGTTTCCGGGACACTTTCCCACATTCTATCATGTCCTCTCATTTGGAGCAACGGGTTCTGTTGTCCTCGTTTTATAGAACATGAGGCTCAGGGCCCGAGATTTAGTTCGGTGGCACTGCGCCTGCCTCGCAAGTGCCAGGTCCTGAGTTTGAACCCCGGCACCAAAAAACAAACAAAAAAAGACCATGAGGCTCAAAGGAGGTAAATACAGTGAGTGGTAGAATGACCAAATTATTGGGGAAATATAATGGACATGGCTTCTTTTTGTTTTAAAGTTCAAGTCCCTCCACAAGACAAGGATTGGCAAAATGAAGTTGATGCTTGTGTGGGTGTTTGTGTATGTGTGTATTTGCCTGTGCAAACACTTTTGTGCAGTATGTGCCTTTATAGCTCAAAGAAAGAACATTGGGAGAATTTAATTAGATCGATGACTCTCAAAGGTGGTTCTCATAATTCTGAAAACTTATAGAGATCTAGGCTTTTTGTTATG